CCAGAGTCTTGGCTAGTGATGCTTGTTGTCCTATTTGGCAAAGTGTCCTAACATTAAATGCTCCTATATAAAATTGGTGGCGTGGCTTTAGGAGACCATCAGTGGTGGCTTTTTGGCTTCCATCGTTATCAGTGCACACAGAGTGAAGGGGAAGTGAAGAGCCAACAAGTAGAGGAGTTGCATTAGTAGAAGGAAGGCAAGATAATAGAGATGAAGATGAAGACAAAGATGAGCGAGGATTAGAGGGGTTTCGCGTGCACTTCGGATTGTGAGGGCGATTGTTACTTCCCGGCAGCCCACACCGTGGAAGTTGGTTGCGTGACCGCAGAGCCCAGGGGACAACTACTTGAGGCCGGTCACACACGGCCTGTTTTTGTTTGTTCTTTTTTATTTGGTGTGTCTCAGTAGCGTATTTATCACTTCTGCCCTGTGACACGGCAGCAGAAAGCGCGGTCGTTGTTAATCCGGGCCCCGACCGATCCGGCATGATATTTTGTGATTTATTTGAAATCATAGGATTGGATTGGGTAACTGCTTTTAGTCTAACTGCTATCCAAACAACCTTTCTGGCATGGTAGGACCTGCAGGAACATAAGTTCCAGCCAGTATAGCTTGTTGGGTCATTGCAGTGTTCAAGCCCGACCACCACGTCAAGGTAGCAGCTATCGGTCGGGAATGCACATGTTTCAAAAAAAGGACACAGAAATACGGGTGCATAAATGTAGTGAAAACATTGATGACTTTAATGCTAAATATTCAACAAATGAGGAAAATAATGAGCTATCACGATAATTCGAGATACTTAGCACCAAGTATACCATCTGTTACACATTATGCTAATATGAAATTCTGTGTTTGAAAATCAAGTGATTAAATCAATGTGCCAAAATTTCAATACACAAAAAAGACAATGACGAAAATGTTTCTCTACTCAACACATGTTAAATTCGCTTACTCGTGTAAGACCAAAGCTATAATACTGTACTGTAAGATTACAAACGGAATTCTTTTTCGGACAGGTTTGTGCATGGGGACACTACAAAAGAAATCAATAGTTTGGTTGTTTTAAATTTGTACTTCTTTGAGATAGTTTACAAAATAAACATTATTAATCGTGCAAAAGAGAGAGTTTCACGCGTGACTATCGATAAAACATACCTTCGTTTGCGGAAGGATATTTAAGTAACAGTATTAGAAATAATACTTAAAAACCTAGATAAAGAATATTGAGAAAAAAAAAGTAGGTCAGTAGGGCGACTTTGCAACATTTAGGACGTAGCATTCAAACAATCAACCTTGGGCGATTGAAATGAAATGGAAATCTGGGTGACGGTGAAAGCTATAGCAGGGTGCCTTTGGGCATAGTATAGCGGACGCCACAATAGATATTCCTGCTGCGTAAGAAAGTCGACAAAAAACCTCCAAAGCAGCGAAAAGTAATATATGATGATTACAGTATTCTTCTAAGCGTGTAACACAAAATCATACAAGACCTGGAGAAATTGAAACTGTAACTGATCACCTCTCTGTACTGCCTATTCAGGTGGGTTGAAACGAAAACGCAGCAAGTTTTTTATACTACAACTCATATATAATTACGCGAAAATGTTGAGTCTACCCACCATAGTTGTTTCTATCTGTCTGTCTATACAGCGTGAAACTTCGGTGCACATTTTTGAGTAAACAAAAAGATTTCAGTAAGGATACAAATTCTCATTCAGACACTTTAAAGACAAGAGGACTGAGCCAAAAAATAATTACTTTTCAATTAGATCCTCATCTCTGGCTCTACTCTAATGTATATATATATATATATATATATATATATACTAGAGTAGTATATAAGTGACCTACAACGTATAAGTGAGCTAAAGTAGAATACAGTCTTTGAAAACAATGTTGCTACACATTAAAATGCCACATAATCAGGAATGAGTACATCTCGATCTGCTTAGAATGACAATGAATGTAGCGCGGGGAGAATACACTACGTCATAAATACTTTTAAATTGACAGCTTATAAATAACTGATGCAAAACACCTTTAATTGAATATAGTTATATTCCGTATTGATTTAAGACTAAAATAAAGGATTCGGCTAAGTAGACATACATACATTCAGGTCAGCATTAATGAAACAGATGCATAAATTTTCTTTGATAATATTAAATGAGTAACTGGCTGAGTTGTAATATAGAACTCTGCACAGAAGTACAGAAGTCAAAGTTGCCACAATCTATCTAGCATCGAGAAGTAGAGAAAAGAAAGGGAAAATAGAGATTCATAAGAATCACAATAAGCAGATATGTACGGGATAAAGAACAGTAAGATGGAAAGAGAGTTTTGTGTGTAAACGAGAGACCACAAAGAGTGAATACATCTGAGCCAATGAGAACGAATCTGAGCTATATAACACCAACAGTTTCCAACCATTGGTTTATAGCCTTCTGATGACCCCAAGCAATAAATGACGAATACAATCATAGTCAGGCCAAACAACACTCAAGGATATTACAAAAGTATAAACCACATTTGACCAGGTGAATTTTCAGCATCAAAATTCATTTGACTACAAAACTAACTGGACACGAAAATGACGAAAAACTGTTATCTCTTTAGCAATACATGAATGATTTTTAATGTTTAGTTAACAAAATTATCTTAAATAACAAAGACTAACAAGTAACTATACAAGTCATGCCTTAATATAGGAAGAAAATTTCGAATAGATAAAGAGATTCAGAAAGTCAAGTACCAAAATGGAGCACTTACAGGACTAAATATACGAACATCAGGTCCACCATTCGTGAGCTAGAAAAAGTTTATAAAATATTCATGATCACAGGTCAGTACAAAGGAGGAAAACAACACAGCTATAATGTATAGTGATTAGTGATAAACTGCACTGAAATCAGTAGACATGACAATAATAAACTATTTAACTGGATATGCGACAATTGTAAATACTTTCCTATAACTACACACACACTTCGCTAGGATTTTAAGCACTTATGATAACATATGGCACGAAAGGTTAACTAAATACCTCTGAGGCAATGTGAACTTGAATTATCGATTACTGGAGTCTCAAGGGAGCTGGATTTACATTCAGCAGACAACAACTTTAATCATTGATATCATCATCTGAAAACCTCTTTAATAAAAAATAATATTGAAAGGCATTTTTTCGACTTCAGATGCAACGGAAAGTTAGTAGCTGACAAATGCTGAGTGTTTGATAAGCTTGTTTCTAGTCTTAAATAAAAATGAAATGTACGTGGTCAAACAAAACGCATATAATTGATATGATCACGAATAAGCCAAAACTCAAACCTATCCACACCAAATGTTAAGAAGTATTAAAACCACTTTCAAATTCCATATCATATATTCGACAGTTACTAGTAGATTATTGTCTTAAGTACTTGACTTTCGGTCAGTGGGTTCTGGGTTGGAATTATATCCCACATACTCTAGCCTGAGTGACTTGGTACTACCACCAGGGCTCACGAAAGAACTGTGGCTAGTATGCTGATATATGAAAAATATCTGATCTAGGTAATTGAAGCACAGTTAGACGGATTCACTTCCATTTGTTCTGCTAGAATATTTACACAATTCAAATTCGATAGAATTTCATATTTCTTAATTTCAATAATATACTTTGAATACAAGTGTAAAACTTGGGCACTGTGGTAGTATGTAATTCCATATTAATTTGTTTATTAGATTAATCACAGTGAAACAGTATGATTTACTGGATGATATAGTTTCGAACACAACTTATTATTCATAATCATATATATTAATTATAATCACACAACTTCGAAACTTGATTTTTATATTTTTCTTTGTTCTCTCCTATTTATCGTGGGAGGGTAGTAGAATTTTCCAGATGTCTCGGTTGACATGTGTTGAATCCTTCCTATTACACGTCTTTACAGTTGATTCGATAAACAAAGCTTCCGTTATCAATCTCTTCCTCCATCCTGTTACACTAGATTTTAAAACTGCCATCTTATCCCATCATCCTATTGTATGTTTGTGTGTAATTGCGTGTGGTGTAGTGCTACAGCTGAACTATTCTCCAGATTTATCTTATTGGGGTCTACTAATCTAGATTTTGGTAGGTTTTTATACTTCATTAGTCTGACTGTCCCTGTTCTACTACCCTCACCTATGTACTTAATCTGACAGTCATTACAGCAGGGTATTAGACAAACTAAATTGTTTTGTTTTATTGGCTCCACAGGATCCTTTAAACTACAAAGCTTATTTCTAATTGAGTTTGTAGGTTTCAATACCACTTTTATTCCCGTATTGTTAAGAATTCTCCGTAGGGTTTCCGAGGTATGGAAGCACTATTGATGATTTTTACTCCCTATTGTTGTTGTCATTATCCCGTGCATGTTTGACATTCATGTCATTATTATTATTATTGTTATTATTATCACTATCACCACTACTAATATGAATTTTATTTTTACATTTGCCTACATACTTCCTGATTAATTTGATAACAGAAGCTTTGTTTATCGAATCAACTGAAAGTGAATACGTGTAATAGGAATGATTCAACATGTGTCAACCGAGACATCTGGAAAATTCTACTACCCTCCCACGATAAATAGGAGAGAACAAAGAAAACTATAAAACTCAAGTTTCGAAGTTGTGTGATTATAATTGATATATATATGATTATGAATAATAAATTGTGTTCGAAACTTTGTCATCCAGTAAATTATACTGTTTCACAGTGTGATATATCTAATAAACAAATTAATTTAGAATATACTTTGAAGTTGAGACGAAAGAATTTAAGAGTCAAGTGTAACTGTTTGATATTCTCCAAGCTATCACCACCACGTTTGTTGACATATTCAGTACTTATTTCACTGGTAGAATAAAATAAACAGTATAACAGATGTCGCCTGTATACACTCCTAAAACATAAAACATTGAAACACTAGCTACTGCTTGAATGCATGAAAATTTCCAGTGAAATAAACTAATTCAACTGAAAAAATCAACTGACCAAATATTCTCTTGCTTCATTTATTGCTTTAAAACCAGACTTTGTTCCTTGTTCAATTAAGACGAGAAAATCTGTTGTTTTCTCCCACAAAGAAGAAACAGCACGGTGACGAGCAGATGCACACGGCAGTTCAATCAATGTATTAGCGCTGACCACTAAATTATACTGATTCTGTTTTAACGAAAAATAAACAATTGCAGAAAATTTATTTCACAGCAGATAGTGATGTAGGACAAATCTCAACTTGTCAACAGACAGAAAATAAGTGAGATAAGGAAACTCAAATAAAATAATCACAATGACAGAATAAATGAAACGAGACATAGGTGTGGATTCAGTTGAGTCATACAAATAAAACTCATTTACCATAAAATTTCTTGCTGACCTACAACTCCCTACGGTTCCAAAAGCTCCTTTAGACTTTACTGTTTCTCATTCGACCCCTTGTTCCTCTAAAAATATTCTTATATGACTACAAGTCCATATCCTCTGTCAGGCAGTCCCATTCACTAACTTCACACGACACGTTCCTAAAATAAGTGAGAGGTCAGATTCAGACATTTGGTGCTAATTATCATTCTAGGGTCAAAATAGAAGAGTTGGAAAACCCTGATTTCAGAACAATGGTAAACTTTAGGTGCAGAAATCGAAAAGAACGAATAACATGAAAGCCTGTTTTAGTTATCATGAACTGTGTGAACATTGTACTTTACGCGAACAACTTTGCAAGTGAGACTAAGCTTTTTCCAGAAGAGGATGTGAGCCATTTGCGTGTTCGGACATCTCTGCCTTTGTAGAATTGCTTGTAATCTATGATATCACCGTGTTGATATTTCTGAATCTAACAGTGCATGATTGAGCAGAGTAGAGATTACTAGTCAGTCTGTGATTTTGCGCTCGGACATGAAGGATATTTGTGCTGAGTTGGCACATACCTATGCATCATTAATCCCTGGGTAGATGTTGAGAGATCATGCAACTCAGTAGCTCTAGGTGTTATGTGGTATGGTCAGGAAAATCCATCAGTTTCTTTCGACCATTCATCGAATTAATATGAAGGAGCCAACACTTCTTTGAATTTACTTGATGATTACGTTCGTCTGTTTAAAGTTTGTTATTCACCTTTCCTTATAATGGCTATTTATTTCGTGTGGCTCATTTTTTTCCGTCAGTAGTGTATCAAGTTTATGTTAAAAAGTTATTAAAGTATAAAACATTTGATTTGCATAGACCATAGTCAGAACTTTGACAGCATATTTATAGGCATTAAACAGTTCAAAGACTGTTGAGAAATGAAGGATGTTGGGAAAAAACGCTGTCGCTCGGTTAGGGAGCAGAATGGTTGACAAACAGGAAAATATTTCAATGAAACAGGCGGGAAATATCTGAGACTACCACAATCTTGTTTTATTTCCCCATCATAAAGTGCTAACACGAAATATCACACATACCAAAACACTTAAGTGAAAAGAGCATACTATCAATGTACGCTACAGTTCACTAAAATACTCGACGTTCAAACAATAACTGACATAATAATTCCATATAAGGTGAGTAATTATAACATCTAAGAAATTGTGTTGTATCATAGGACTCTATAAAAATAATACCGTCTTGAAAACATCTACTTAGACACAAACATTTAGCAACAATACTTAGATAATTTGAGTTTTCAGAGAATGGAACAACACTATGGTCCGGTTAAATTCAGCTTCCTACTAAAAGAAAACAAATATCACCTAACAACTCTGGTCCGCAAGATAAAAAGCCGAAAAGCCAAAGGTATGTAAACATAGAAAAGTGGGTTCACTTAAACATTTCATATTCCATAAAGTGACAACCGACAGAGAAGAACTCAAATTGTAAAGAAACCGCACAGAAGTTTAAAAATTACAATCAGAATACAATCATATTCGAGACAACATATAAGTTTACATTGTCTCACGAACAGGCAATGCACAAGGAATCATAGAAATAGGTTACAACATGCATTTCGCCAACCGACGGTGGGTCCCATTTGCATCCATTGAATCCAAGCTACATACGTTACATTTCATCCTCTCTTCTATCCGAGCAAACTCTTATTTGTTTATCTCCAACACACGTCTATGTTCCCGCCAACTTTAACAAGTATACGAAAAATACTAATGAAACACCAAAGATACGCATATGTCATATAGGTTGTGGTTGTGTTATGCGTTACGAATTTCCGAAGACTGGACTTCCTTTGTCCCAATCTAGCTCAACCTCAGAAACCCTCAAAGATTGTTTCAACATAGCGTATGTGCAATTCATCTGGACGTCTGCATACTTACAGAATATAAATTATACCGAAATGATTTACATTTCTTAAACTTCACGTGCTATGTTTGTTTGTGATTACATACAAGAGACGTGCATACACAATCTTAGTGCAGTACTTTCAACAACTTCATGCATCAGTTCACGAAGTACGTACAATGTGCGATTATCTGGCAACCGGTGGCATCGATGTCACATCAAGTGTTAGGGTCGAGACTTCACCACTTGCCTAGATCACTTGCCCATTTACAGTCACCTATGTGCTACCAGGCTGCTAAGTTTATTCAAGTGAAAAGTGACTGGAGAGAGAAACGATGTCAAATCGTTAAGTCTGAAAACGCATCGACAGATTGCAGTCTTGATGCAAATGGGATGAGACCTACGAGTAACCAAGTATCGACGATAAATATCGTAGTGTTAGATGGGAATGGAATGTATGAGTTCGACGTTTATGTTGAGATGAGTGTCGGTTAAGTGGCTAATAAGGAGTAGGTAGTCACACATCAGATAACGACGACCGTCTTCTACAACTCTACGTAGGTGACAACCTATTTCTAGGCAGTACAAACTTTTAGCATAACCAGCACCATTTCACTTCCAGGGGTAGTGTCTCTGCTGCTCAAAGGTAGACTGAGACAGTCATGACTTCAGATGACAATGCTGATTCTGCATACAAATGGTCTTTTCTCCCTACTGTTCTTATCTGTCTGTTAGTTTTATTTCTCGGGTAATTCTAATATTCTCTTATAGTCATCAAACAAATCTCATGTCTCCGATTCATCTGCTATCTCGTTATCAGACTCGGCTATGTCTATATAAACCAATATATAGTCGCGAAACAGTAAAACAACATTCCTGAAATCACTATGCAGCGACCTTTGCCAAACACTACCGTGAAACTGTAAAACTCTCACAAAGTATGATTAATATCAACGAAAATTTGTATGAGTATCCACTATTTCAAGTTGTGAAGAATGAAAAATGAGGATAGTTCGGTAAATGCAGCATAATGCAGTGAAAATTGAAACATAGTGAGTGTATTTGCTTTACAGTGCTGGCGTCTATCTCTACGACAGACCGTATATCACACCGACCTTCGGCAGAGTAAGAGTGCATAATGATTTATGTTTGCTTATTTCCTGTTATCATTGAAGCACCACTACACTAAGGTTCAATCTAAACTGCGACCAGATTCCAAAAGGAATAAGAAATTTCTACCTAGTTTCCTTAACAATCGCTTATTGCAAAATGATTTGCCTGTATGCATCATTGAATTCGTGTTGGTGCAAACCAAGTAAGGTGACTATTCTCCCTACACTGAAACCTAGTGGCCGTTGAAATGAAATTGAAAATCATTTACAAGATGGTCTCAATATGCCTTCCAGATTCACGTAGACTTTATCACCGACTAGCTTATATCATTGTATCTATGCGTCCCGCTATTCGTAAGAAACTTCAGAGATTATGGTATAACCTCGGTTTAGGAAATAGTAGGGAACATTTGCAGCCAAAGTGGACGATCTTGATGCGGTTGTGGTCTCTAAGCTGTGGTTGCGGACATCTTCAGAGTAAACTTCAATACGAAGTGAACTTGTTTGGGTTCTCCACAAGTGACACGTTTGTATCTCTTGACAAATTTTGTTGTGATTGGTTATTAATTTGCATTACTCTTTAAATATTATGTATTTATAGCTGCAGAGCCACAGAAAGAAGTCATTGAAAAGAATGTTCTTCGGTGAGTCTTCTGTTGGTCTAAATGTCTAGACCGGAGTTTTGGCTATAATTTCCATTCGTAGTGATTGTTGTTATTGACTTGGAATTCGACTTCTTTCGTAATATGGTTTATTCTTTATTAGTTGGTAAATCTGATCTATAATAATGTGTCTCTTAATCGCTGATTCGTTTCAGTACCAGGCTTCTAGGAATTTCCTGACATTTTCAGTGTTTCGATTGTCTGAAATTTCTGTCTTTTCCCAGTCAAGTAGGTGTCAATTGCCGTCTACAAGCATTGATACAGAGGAAAAAGTCTTCTAACAACTAGTTTAAAGATGAATAAAACTACCAGCAAAAAACCATCCATCTCATACAAAGAATTACTCTGAAATAAGGGCTCGAATACTGAAAGCTTTCAGCAAAGATGTCGCACACAAACCAACAAAATCACTTCGGTCAACAATACGCCGACCAAACACCCAACAGTAAAAGAAGACAAAGACAACACAAACACCATCTAAAAAATGCATGCATTGTGACGAGCACTATATTAGTCAAAATGGGCGATCCCTTTTACTCGGCGTCCAGGAACATAAACTCAAAGGCTGTAGACTGTTCTACTCTAAAATGCGTCTTCTTAAATTCTTTTAATTTACACACATCCTAGAAGTAAATCAACTTGAGATTAAACAAAATCCTACTGTTAACCCAAATGGTAATTGACGAAGACTTTACTATACGAGTGTGAAATTAGAGGCGAACGACTGAACATATAGAAAAAATATAGAATTATATAACGCAACATGAAATGCTAGCCACACTTAGTTCATGTATATATATATATATATAACTGCACTTTTGTTATTCACGTGTCTAACGTTAAACATTTTCACCACTAGTTACATGGCTTTTTCGAGTTTCCAGTTTTTATTTTTACGGTTTTTAATTACGTCACAGATCTGCATTAGTTACAGATCTACTGAAAGCAAGGGAGTACTGGACAGCCGTTACATCCCAGTTTCTTTTTCACGCTAACAGGTGGAGTAATAGCTACTACAGGATCTTGAATAAGTCAGAAAAGATTAGGATTTAAACTAAATTACGCTCGCCTACTTATAAGAACATTTGAGTTGATTAATTTAAATCCTACACATGCATCTCTCGGTGTCAAATAAATTCAATACAGCATAAAATTAATTACTTTTCTACCAGGCATGAAACGGCGATGATAAACTCCAGGAAAGATATTTTCGGAAGGTTGTACAGTTCCCTGTTTACGGAACATGAACTCAGAGAGTCGGGTCATGTGTAAGGATGGTTCTACCAGATAGTGTTCACGTACGCAGCCTACTGGCCAGACAGTATTTGTAGCCCTAAATGTTTAAAGTACAACAAACACAAAAAATGAACTGAATAAGTTTATTAGTAATAAAACATATAAAAAAAATTTAAAAAAGTCACGGTGACCAGATAGAACTGCAAACAGTTGGCTGCTTAGATAAATGTGTGCTACGTAATGAGAAGGCTCAGCTGAAATGACTAAGGCACAAGTACTCGCTCAGCACATTCCGGATATTCTTATCACGTATTTACTTATCAGTATAATCTATGTGGAGCATGAAGGTAGGATGAAATCAGAACAAATTCGTGAGGATATTAGATTTACAAATATATGGAAGATAAATCAATGTCTCCATACAAATTTTAGTACTATGATAAAATGGAAATTGGCGTAATGGGTTCTGCAGATGAAAACAATCTATTTTCAAATATGTAACGGAGAGCCTAGTTGTTAGTGAAAAACAAAGCACGTAGTTCAGCGAAGAGTCTCTTTTCGGCAAATTCATTCACTTAGCTCTACAATCGCAATCATATATGATTATTTATGTATTTGTGTGTACATTAGCTTTGTCAGATAAGAATAAAAGTTAGTTAGGGTTGCTGTTTACGTCATAAAAATATTTCAAGAAAAATGTGATGAATAATCAAATCGTGTTTTCCAGTCGTCCTTTTGTATGCAGAAGATGGAAAAGGCATCGGCGACAACTATTTAGACTTATCAGGGAAACAGGTGTTAAAAGGCAAACGATAAGTGAAACAATCTCTGAGAAAAATGGCACCATAATTAACTCCCAGAACAGACGACTAGGACGTTAGAAAGAACACTTTGAGGAGCAATTCAGCTGGCCTACAGCCACGCTCAACTTACCGAACATCTAACACCTACCTGAATGGGATATTGACACAGGTCCTTCGTTCCTAACTGAGGTTACTAAGGCTGTCACTAGTCTGAAACGAGGCAAAAATATGGGACCCGATAGAATGACTCCAGAGGTGTTTAAGGACGGTGGAGACAATTTACAGTTTGCATTGACTGAGGTACTAGGAAGCCTCTGGGAATCAGAGGTAGTCCATTTGGACTCGTGTAAGTCATCCCGACCGAAAGCTGTTACCTTGACGTGGTGGTTGGGCTTGAACACCGCAATGACCCAACAAGCTATACTGGCTGAGACTTATGTCGCTTGAGGTCCTACCATGCCAGAAAGGTTGTTTGGATAGCGGTTAGACAAAAAGCAGTTACCCAATCCAATGCTATGACTCAAACAAAATCACAAAATATCATGCCGGATCGGTCGGGGTCCGGATTAACAACGACCGCGCTTCCTGCTGCCGTGTCACAGGGCAGAAGTGATAAATATGCTACTGAGACACACCAAATAAAAAAGAACAAACAAAAACAGGCCGTGTGTGACCGGCCTCAAGTAGTTGTCTCCTGGGCTCTGCGGTCGCGCAACCAACTTCCAAGGTGTGGGCAGCCGGGAAGCAACAATCGCCCTCACAATCCGAAATGCACGCGAAACCTCTCTAATCCTCACTCATCTTTGTCTTCATCTTCATCTCTATTATCTTGCCTTCCTTCTACTGATGCAACTCCTCTACTTGATGGCTCTTCACTCTGTGTCCACTAAAAACGACGGAAGCCAAAAAACCACTACCGATAGTCTCCTAAAGCCACGACACCAATTTCATATAGGAGCATTTAATGTTAGGACACTTTGCCAAATAGGACAACAAGCATTACTAGCCAAGACTCTGGAATCCCGAGCCATTGATATATGTTGTGTTTCAGAAACACCCAAATGTGGTTATTCACCTAACCCCACCTGGCTAACAGGATGAATCTGCAAAATTCACCTTGAGGGTGTCAGGAGATGCCACAGCTAGTTCACGAGGATTAGCTGGTGTAGGGATAGCTTTGAGTACTAGGGCAGAAAAGACATTACTTGACTGGATCCCGGTAGATAGCCGAATGTGCGCTGTCCGCCTGAACGGATCAGTGAAAAGGAGAAAGGACTGCACTACTCGCCGATGCCTTTTCGTAATCTCCGCCTACGCCCCCACTGACTGCAGTTCGGATGAAACGAAGGATGAGTTCTACCAAAAGCTGTCTAGTTTGCTGCGAAAGGCTATACGCTCACATATAGTCGTTCTAGCTGGTGACTTTAATGCTCAAGTAGGGGAATTGTGTCAATCTCAGAAGGATGTCGGTGGCACATACGAGTTCCGTGCCAGTGAACCGACAACGGTGACCGTCTCCTACAGTTCTGTTCAGATAATCATTTGTTTCTGGTAAGCACTAACTTCAAACACAAGGAGAGAAACTGTTTGACCAGGCGACCCCCATCATCAAATCAACGCTGGACACAAATAGACCACATAGCAATAAGCTATCGTTGGCGTGGGTCGGTAGGGGATTGTCGCTCCTTCTGGAACACGTGTGAAGATACCGATCACGCACTAGTCCGCGCTCGAGTGTGCTTACGACTGAACGGATGTAGGAAACAGCTGGCGGTAAACCCATCACGTCCCCAGCTCGACCAGGAAACTAAGTCCCTATTTGAGGAAGAACTAGCTAAACACATATCTGAGTTCGACAGCTGTGCTCACCCCGAAGAAGCCTGGAGGAATATTCAGTCAGCCATAGATACAGCTGTGAAAGCTGTGAATAAGGTACATCCAAAGGTGAGTAAAAACCATTGGATTTCGACTGCCTCATCCGAACTAATAGATGCTAGAAGACTTATTGCGGCGAGCTCCGAATTCAATGAGGAGCGAAAGCTGCACAAAAGGAAACTTACGAAAAGTCTCCGCAAGGACCGTGAACAGTGGTGGGTGACAAAGGCGAAAGAGATGGAAAAAGCATCGGCGATAGGCAACACTAGACAACTCCTTAGACTCATCAGGGAAACGTGTGGGAGAAGGCAAATCATGAGTGAGACTGTTTCTGAGAAAAATGGCTCCTTTATTAGCTCTCAGGATAGACACCTTGAACGCTGGAAAGAACACTTTGAGGAGCAATATAACTTGCCTACAGCCACACTGAACCTCCCCGCCCTCCAGCACACACCCGAATGGGATATAGACACTGGCCCGCCGTCTGTAAGTGAGGTTACAAAAGCTATCTGTAATTTGAAACGAGGCAAAGCAGCAGGACACGACGGAATTATTCCGGAGGTGTTTAAATATGGGGGTGACATACTAGTATGTAGTTTAGCTAAGGTACTAGGTAACGTCTGGGAATCAGAGACGGTTCCATCAGACTGGGGTAAGTCACTTATTATACCAATATTCAAGAAGGGAGACAAGTCCTCATGTGATAATCATAGGGGGATCAGCCTGACGAACATAGTCTCTAAAATCCTAGGCTCAGTAATCATGCACAGACTAAGCAGAACTCGGGAGGAACAAACGAGGGAAAATCAAGCAGGCTTTAGGCCAGGTAGAGGGTGCATAGATCATATCTTCACTCTCCGACAGAACCTAGAACAAAGACACACTTTTAGGCTAATGGAAGTATCCTTAACTGAACTTAACGACTTAGGAATCGACTTGTTACCAGGGAATAGTCTTATCGACTTAGAATATGCAGACGACATAGTCCTGTTAGGGGAGGACGGTGACAAAATGCAGAGTCTTCTGAACACCTTGAGCAGCAATCTTCGTAGGTTTGGCATGCGATTCGCTCCCGCCAAATGTAAGATGATGAGGCTGCAGGACTGGACTAAATTGACTCCTAGCTTAGTGATAGGGAGTGAAGTGATAGAACATGCTGACCACTTCACCTATTGATCACCGACGAAATCTCAGTACGGATACAGAATGCTCGTTTTGCATATGCCATTTTACGGTGTCTCTAGCGTAAACGTGATATCCGGCTGGCTGTCGACCAAGGGGCGTGTGTACTGCTCAGCAGTTCGCTCTGTCCTCTTTTATAGTTGCGAGACATGGACATTGAGAGTGGAAGACATGAAAAACCTGGCTAGCTGTCTTTGATCATGAGTGCCTGCCTTCTATCTCCCATGTGAAGTGGTATAATAGGATGAGCAATGTTGAGGTTAGGCGTCGAGTGTTAGGTAAGGAGGGGAAATCAATAGACGAGGCTGTGAAGCTAAGTAGATTTATATGGTTAGGACATGTGTTACGCATACCTAGCCATCGCCTTCCTCGACGGGCAATGTTAGTTGGCATATGGTCAGGTTGGAAAAGTGCTAGCGGCGGTCAGACCAAAACATGGCTTCATCAGTCAATGAAATCCACAACAGTTAGGTTAAACCAAGTAGGAAGGTGTAGACTTGCTGGTGGGGTCCTCGGGACTTAAAAACCAATGGCTGGAGACAGCCAGTTATATGGTTCAAAATCGTTCTCAGTGGCACAGGTGCATCCACTCCTTGTGACTTATAATATCCAATATTGTTCTTCGTTATTACTATTCCTTTTGTCTTATATCCCTGTTTACTATCTATTTTGTATTTCTTATACTTTCTTCTCTTGCTTTGTGTGCTACATGTATTGTGGTGACTTGAACTTCTGCACATCAGTGCAAAGTCCTATGTTGAAAACAGACAGACTAATTGTATCTCCCTGGAATTTCAGATTTGTAATTAGTTGTTTCTTCCGCATATCTAGTTTTCGTGGAGTATTGGTCTTTCTCTTTAGATGTTTGTCAATGAAGGAGGCTGGATATTCATTGTTGATCAGTGCTTTTGAAGGATTCCAATTCCTTACTCAATATATTTTCGGTGCATTTACGGTGAATTCTCGTCGCAAGAAAACTGATGAGATTTCTCTTTTCGCTTATTGGGACAAAACTGTGAAAGTTTATCTAGCTATCCATTTCATTTTGGTCTACGATAGATTGGCCTTTGTAAATTTCCACTTGTTCTTCTTGAAAGGCGGACATCTAGGAAGAAGACCGCCTGTCTTCGGATTCCGCTACACTTTTAAATTCGACTGATCGATGAGCATGGTTAAAGATGCCCAGGATTCTGTTAGCTCAGTATTTTTATCGATGATCATAAAGATATCACTCATGTACCGCTTGTATACTTTGGACCGATTGATTGTTGTGATTGGAGGATACTGAACTCAAAGTAATTTATGAAGCAATCAGCGAGTAGTGGACCAGGTAGAGAAGCCAATGATACTTCCTCTTTCTGTCGGTATATTGGAGCGTTGAATAAAACCTGCACCTTAATGGTGCATTTCAGTGTCAGATCTTAGCTATACTTAATGGGTATACTTACATTTAGATTATTTGAGTCGATTAATCCACATAGTTAGCATACGGTTCTCCATAATGGGACATTGTTGAATAGGGAAACTGCCTTCACTGAAGCCATAATTGATTAAAATACATTCAATTGCTTTACAGAATGCACAAATTTTAACGTACCTTTCAAGGAGAGATTTTATCACTAGCTTTCTCATAGGTTCTAATGGTTTTCGGACTGCAATAATACTGCATAGTGGTATTTCAAATAGAACTTCCTTAAATGAACTAATAACCACGAATGGGTAAGAACAGTAACCTTCGGTGAACCTACCTAGGCACGATCGTGCCGAATTCTCCACAGCATCAGTCCAACATATTGTGAGAGAAAATCAAAATCATGGCTAAACTATAGGTAGCAAAACAAATTCGTCGAATCTTATACATGAGTGTAAACTGATTATATATTTATGTATTCTGTATTTCAGTTTGGCGAAATGATACCGAAATGTTAGTACCAAAGGGAAACTAAAGAATATGATTTTAAAAGTAATGACCAGTTAGGTAATTGAGGAAGCACATTATACAAACAAGATTACTAAGCGTTAAGAAAAAATATGCTACTACGGTAACCTAAAAGCTAAGTAGATAATGATTTGACAACTCATTACATTTGGAGATATGTAAGTGAAGAGTAATCAAATCATAAAACCGAGATTGGAGGAAAATCTCCTCAAATGACTAGAGAACCAAATGAATTCCAATGCTCCAATAAATATAAGTGGAAAACTCATCATTATTATTTGAAATCACTGGACGAGCAGTGTCGCAAATGCCTTCAGCTACAATTCTCATTTCATCTTCAGACTATATTATACATATTGTATAGATGAAAGCGACGCAAATAGGATATTAGGCTCAAAGTAGTAAAGTTCTTGAGCCTATCAAACACGTTTCTAGTTTGAATTTTTAAAAACTAGACACTAAGTAATGTGTTTTATTCATTCTTAAGAACAGTTCTAAATAAGGCTTTTCTTCTTAACTATATGATAACTCTTCTAGTTCTTAACTAGTTAATGATAATAAGAATATACACGATTAGGAAAACACTAAATAAAGTGAACATAACGTTTAAACGTTGCGTGGAACAGATACTGAAACGAATTTTATCCGAATAGCTCACCAAGTAACTGTGCCTAGACCAGAGCCAAAGTCAAACAGTGACCTTGGAATAAAATTAGGACATCGTTTACGAATCTCATACAGGACTCGACAAGCTGACGCAAAGTTGGGAGCCAAACGCGAGACCAAATAAAGTTCACAGGTATGTCCAGAATAGCTTGAGAAATGCAGCAAATAAAGGATGAGAGAATTAAGTTATTGGGTGATTAATTTACTTCCATGTCTTACAATAATTAGATAAAGCACTAAAGAAATCAAATAGTAGATAAGCTGTGTAATGCACACTGAGGAATCTAAGAGATACAAGAGAACAACCCACACTCTAGGACAACATATTATGCAAACCAAATTACAATACACATGGTATAAGGTGTGCTGAATGCGCAAATATGTTGGAAAATAAATCGATACGCACAAAACAGTGTCTATTCAAACAGTTACAGACAGATACTAACAACCTAGAACATAGAATTAATGGAAAATGCTTTGCATCTCCTCGTATCATGAGACGAAAATCAACAGATGCAATCGGATAATATACAACCGTTAGACTAAAACAAAATAAGGCGGGTTAGATGTAGGATATTACAATTAGGATGAAAGCAATGTATGATTGCATTTGTAAAACTGCAATCGATTTTAAGACATACTACCTGAAGTCTCTAACCATTTCCATCAGTTGTATTGTGAATGTCAAACAGATTATTATTATTTCCTTTAATTCCTAGAAGAACATAGGGCTTCAGTCGCGCGTCTCCATTGCGTTCGGTTCTCTGCTAGAGATTTCACCTGGTGCCAAGTCTGCCCGCATGCTTTCATCTCCCCTTCACATGACCTCCTCCAAGTCACCCTTGAACGACCAACTTGCCGCTTCCCTTTCGGGTTCCACTCGAGGGCTTGTCTGGTGATGTCACACGGTTTCCTCAGAGTATGGCCAGTCCACCTCCAATACGTCCTGCAGATTTGTTGCACAATCGGTTTCTGGTTGGTTCGCTCCCAGAGATCCCTGTTGCTGATCTTTTCTGGCCAGCCATCTGATCTTGAGTATTGAGCGAAGACAACTGTTAATGAAGGTCCGTAGTTTGTTTGAGGTGCTCTTTATGACGCGCCAAGTCTCTGTTCCATCCGTATAGTAGCACTGAATCCACATTGGAGTTGAAAATCTGGATCTTATTTTTGATGCTGAGTGCTGCTGACCTCCGCACAGACTTGAAAGTAATGAAAGCTTGTCTTGCTTTGATATCCTCGTCAGTTCCGCCTGTAGTCGAAATGATGCTTCCCAGGTAGGTAAAGGAGATTGTTTCTTTCAGTTTCCTCCCATTTATGCTGATTGTTGTCAGTTGTTGTTGTTTTTGCTGTTGCTGTTGTCCAGGAATCTGCATCACTTCTGTTTTCTCTACGTTTACTTGGAGTCCTATCTTTGTTTGGGCTTGTTTGATTCTCTCCAGGATGATGCGGCTTAGTATTTTGCCAAACAGAAATACCAACATAATAGACCTTAAGTACAATCAAGATCTTCACAAATGTAGAAGTTGCCAGAAGGCTAGAAACTCTCCAACAACAACAAAATGAGAAAGATTTATTTCCTCTTTACAATGTTAAACCATAACAAAATAATCAGGCTGTTAGCCTCCACCAAACGATTTCACCTTTTCCAATGGATAACAGGTTACTTCACATAGAAAAATTGGTATTTCGTACTGTTGCTGAATCCACTCATTATCGAAAGCCTGTAAGTTTGGTAATGGGGATTTGTGACAATAGATTTTGCTATCCGGTAAGGTTTATCGAATAAATGTCTTCCTAATGAACTTATTTTCTGTTTTCTTCTAACTGGAGATAATTTGTTTTACACAATACAAACTATGAATCGAATGAGATAGACAAACAAGTTTTTTTTAAAGGCAACAACAAAGTGTTCATTGACTTTCATGTATTGGTTTGTAGGGATTTGATTGATCGGTTACAGGACTTCATCAGGAGCTGACATCGGCTAGAGAACCATTGGAAAAACTGGGAGTACTGGACAGCTGTTTCGTCCTAGTTTGGGACTTGAAAATCAATGAGATGCTTATGAGCGACTGGTCTTATTCAGGTAGGTGGTTACCTGGGGTTCTAGTGGGACGTCGTGACCATTAGGATGCACCAGGTCTGGTGTGAGGATAAATGCTTGTCGAAGACATTGGCTAGCGGTCGCGCTATGTCGTGAATTGGCAGAAGTTGGAATTCTTGAGCCACTGGATCGGGTCCCGGTGGCTCAATGGTCTACGAGCTCGCCTTGTAACCAGAAGGTCCTGGGGTTCGAATCCCGGTGGGTGCGTACGGATGAAGGGTTCCAAACTAGGACAAAACAGCTGTCCAGTACTCCCAGGTTCTACATTCGTTCTCTAACCGATGTCAGCTCATGATGAAATCCTGCAACCAAAGTGTTCATTGATAATCCAATAGAAATCTTTGAAGCACTTCTTTTACCCCTTAAAGTCAACGAAACATTCAGCTCATGTAGACTTTAATGTAATTAATGGAACTAAATAAACTAACATAAAACTTTATCGGCATAACTATTTATTGATTCCTGTGCCAACTTGTTTGGCTGATAACGTGAAATGCTATATGAGTATTCATGAAAACGTTTGGCAGGTACACTTCCAAACAATCAAGTTATACTGACTAATATAGATGATAGGTGCTTCCTATAAACAATACGTAATAATATTAGAATACTAAAAGTAGATACACAACTCATCTCATATAAAGACTGGAATGTACCTTAGAGATTTCCAGGATTTCAAATTTAGCTCCCTGGTAATTCGAGCCTCACGTTGATCAGCAAAGTTCTCTAGAGCGAAAGTCAGACCGTCATCCTCATCTTCTTCATCCACGTCTTTCGACCTTTTTATGTTGCATGATTTCTGTATAATCGTTTCCTAAAGCAGAAATTCAAGAATACAATGCAATTTCATAAAAACTTATTTCTAATAACATTCAAGAAAAATACACCGAAGTGTGACAAAACGAAGAAAGTAACCAATACTATCTACCTACCTCTGACAAAAGAGGCCGTGACCAAAGATAATCCGTAAGAATTTTGGAACGATCTTCAATTGCCTTTGGGGGAGAAACGGAATGCTCTCGGAGGTATTCGATAGCCATTGCATCGAGTTGAGCTGGTAAAGACATAGGAGGCAGCTGTAGGTAACAGGGGTGTTTCTTTAAATTTGAAGCCCATGTTTTTGAACACTCAGTAGGGTTTTTATCAAGTTTACGGGAGTCTTTCTGTACTGCTGTTTTAAATATAGCCTTCAGATCATCTAAAGGTCGATATCGCAAACCTCCATTTACTAAGCGTCCAGTAAATTCGGCTACAGACTTTGTCCAGGAGGCCTGAATAATCATAATTCAACATTTGGATATTAAAAACATTCCATAGTAACAATTCGCGTTTTTAAGATGATGGCAAGGTAAATAAATTAATAATCGTATACAGAGGAAAAGAAACATTACTACTTAATGGTTGCACATAATCTAATTGTTTATAGTTACATTTATTAGCACATTTCACCATCGTGACCTTGATAAATCGATGTTGCGGACCTCACGTAACTCTGAAACCACCAACTCGAACCTCCGAAAGTCTTCTAGATGTGATTTTGGTGTCCATTAGGGTGCACGAACACAACTTTTGGTGACCTTTCATCCAGCGTGGCATCCAAAAAGAACAGTAAATGACAGCCATATGATTTATGCCCACATATGAGTTGAGGTTGGTATTTACCAAGTGAGACAGTGCTCACTAAATCCATCAAAACCTATTATTCAATATCATTATTAGATATGATGAAATAACTAGCTCCTTTCGCCGACTTGAAGACCAGTAAAACGGAGAACAAGTTAATAATTACTTAAAACATGGGAATTGTAACATAGTGATGTTCCACAATCACAAACAGTGAAGACTTTTGAGATATTTATTTAAGTTTATGAAAGTATCACAACACTTCTGATACCTTAATTCAAATGAGAACTACATATAGTTTCCTCCCGTTAAAAAGATTGACTTTTAAGATACCTGAAAATAATCGAAATGATTACACATCAAAATACATTAACACAATTTGATTTTATACACAAATTTTAGAAAGTAGATTGACATAAGACACTACTCAGTACCAAATGGATATCGTTCGGTAGATATAAAATCATCAAAATCCTCGTTACATATCGAATTCTGTCAACTTTTATTCACTTGTTCGAAAGTGAGACAGGTTTGAATGTGTTCTTAAAGTGCCACTATAAGCCTGGATAAGCATTTTCCCTAACTATGACGCAGCGGCGAATTTACACTGTAACATTTTTAGATAGACAAAAATTATCGAGAGGCTGACTTCATTCCTACAAATAAGGCAGTACATGGCAATCAGACAAAAACAATAGAGAATCTTAGGAGGTATGCTGTTTGAATATACATTTGGCATAAGTATTCGAAAACTCAACTAATTACAGTGCAAAAATTTACATGGACAGTGAGACAGAAAGCAAATAGGGGGGGGGGACTTAACGCAAAGATTAGAAGTTCAAGGTGTCATTTTACACTCAGTGATAAGGTCATCTATGAGAAATACACTACCCCGCGCCCATATCTTGCACCCTTAATTAGCAACCTTATTTAATAGTTGTATTAGGCTTGATTAAGAACACCTTCCTCAAAGGATGAACTTAAACAGCTCTTATCAGTGTCTCAAGAATATACACCACAGCTATCAATTTGGTATGGGTAGACTATTAGATAAGGCTGATTGACTTCCCATGACCAACCTGCAGTAAATAAAAAATGAAACACGTAGTCATACATAGTGCTGATAAATTCGTCAACTGCAATGACCTGTTGTGATGTCAAACTGTAAGCCCTCAAATAGAATTTTCAGTGTAGCACGAGTGTGTTCAATTCACTATTCAGACTGTAACACTCGAAACGATACAAATGACTGGTCAAAAGGATATGTAGAGTGACTTTACTTTGAACCTTTGAACTTTAGAAAGATGGTTGGAATATACATACACCATATATACACACATATCAACAAAATTGTGGGGAATTACATAATACCACAGTCCACCAATGAGCAATGTGTGTGAAGATGGTCATATGAAGTTCATCGACAAATACCAGAAATTTAGTAGGAAATAAAGTGTCACACTGCAACAGAGACCAAAACAAGCACAGCTGTTTGTAAGACCAAGTAGAGACTGGATATTACTCTGAGGAAAAGAATACGGCTGTCAGACCCATTCGTTGGAATCAGATCCGTTTGCTGTCACAATAAAAAGTGACCAGATTCTCATCTGATGTTACCCTCAACTACTTACTTATTTGAAGACAAATGAAGCATTCACATTAGAACACATAGAAGAGTTCAAACTAACATCTAAACACTCCTTGAAGGCTGAAGGAGGCGTAAGCATGCATATCGTATGTTTAATACAGAGTAAAATGTAGGTAATTTTACGCTACTGAACAAATTGCTGGGCCCAAAAGATTTTAGTTGATTGACGTCTGCTGAAGCTACTGACATCACAATAAGAATTATATATTTGAAGAGATAGTCGTCAACTTCGATTCCGTATTTACAAGTTAGTGAGGATTGAACGTCACTTCGATACCTTATTTCCCTTTTTATAACCATCATTCTTATTTTGTTCGCCCGAATCCTTCATTTCCGATATAAGCAACAAGCATTAGCTTCGACTTACATGTATCACCTTATTCTTTTTTGAAGAAAATCTACATAATCATTTTAAAGACGGCTAGTTTGTTTATTGTTTTTAGAACTTCTATCAACCAGTTTTTTGCATAGCTCTACATCAACTATACTACATCCCTGACTAATGGTCTGTGATATAAACACCTAATAATCCATTATATCGATGGAGCTATCGCTTGCCAGTCTGGGTAACCAGACTGTATCAATGGCCGTCACATAGTTAGTATGACTCACATCCAAATGCAGGAAAAGTGTAAATAGTTTATGAGTAACGTGTCCATTTCCGTCCATGAATTGCGAACAATGCGACTTTGGGAGACAAGAGGTCAGGCGATGACTAAGGTGGCCAGGTTTTATACTCTATACTCTCTCAGAGCGACTAACATACTTAGGCTGAGTCACTTTGCACAGAAGTGCAGAAGTTTAAGTCAGCATACTCCATATAGTACACAAAGGTTGAGAACGAAGAGATAGAAAACGAATTCAAAAGGACAATAATGATCACAAATATACGGGAAAGTGAATAGTAACATGAGAGAATATTAAGATTTTAAGCGTCTAGGGGATTACAGAGAAGGATCGCATCTGCGCTATATACAAGGGTTTCCGACAATATCACCCAGTAATTGGTTTTTAGAGCCCTTAAGGACCCCAGAATTTCACTTTAAGTTATTTATGCACTAAGTCAGTTTCAGCTTGAACAGCAATTCATTGTTGGTTCAATCTTAACCGTTACTGAACTGAAGACTAATTTAGCAGGAATGACATATGTCATTTTTAAAACCACATTGTGTACGATGTGTAAGATAACCACCGGTTTCATGAGGTAATCAATTTTCCCATTAGAATTTAAGAGTACAGCACTAAAAATTTCAAGAACTTTGTAAAAGATAACAGTAACCGTCACACGTGAGTTTGTGATTTCCAAAGTGCAGTAACTATCCCTTTTAAATCCGCGGACAACGTTATAACATATCTCAATGACCAATTGTAGACTTCAGATTCAGATCCGTTGATTTATGAAAGAAGGCTCAAAGCCTATGTGAACTTGTTTACATAAAGTTTCTTTGTTTGTCTAAGCTCTGTACCCACTAATATCATTTCTTTTGGCTGTATCAAAAGAAGTGATAATTCCCACAAAAGCTTTGTATTTATTTTATTTATTTTTTATCTTTGATTACAGCTTGATTCCACATCGTATTTTCAGTACAAGTATGGCATTTTCAGCATGGATATCGGTAGCCCAAATTTTACAGGCCGACCATAGATATCGGGTGTGCGTCGGCGGGGAATCGAACCCCGAACCATGTGCACGGTCGGCGAGAGTCCTAACCACTGTACCACCATAGACGCAGGCCTAGATAATCCTTGCAATACACAGGCAGATTTGCTATCACCTAGCTCTACTCAACTGGATGCTTTTAGGTAGGGTACACATGTGCCAGTACAGAAAGTAGGTTGTAGCACCACCGCTACCATTAACTATAAAGCCCACTATCGTAAAAATTTCCATCGGCCGTCAACGACATGTGGACATCAAACTAATGCCAAATTTGAAAGAGCAAATAGCTCATTATCTACACAAAACACATTCACTCAAGCCAATAACCTAAAAGTACAAACATCATTCCATTAGTCCAGGATCTCTTACTCTTAGGTATTTGATGAAGCCAGCTGATTACCCTGACTATGATACATTGCAGTCTTGTGAGAGAATTATTGATCATATTTCCCTGGAAGTGACAAAGCGTGTTCAATGCATGTATAGGGCAATCGTTTTCAATGTGCCCGACAGTTCCAACATTAAAAGCTCACTTTTAAAGGCATGTGAAATACCAGTTTCCTATTGTACCTTCAAACTATAGCGCAAATCCACATCTAATACATCCTGTCCAATAATGTTCGAATTTAATAGCAGTGTGGATACAAGCTGCTTTGTAAACGACTAGCACCTTTTCAGAATAGAATATATGTATCATTCATGACAGGATACCAGTCCAACGTCGTGCCAGGCAAATTGTCTTAGTGGGTGAAATCAGTCAGCAAAAAGATATTGCCAGTCCCTTTGAAGTCAATACCAAAACCCTCTTAACCTTAAAAGAAGCCCTTCACCTAGTTACCCTAAAATGAATCTTGAGACTCTTACCAATACGAAACGCAGTATTTCTGCAGTTGTCAAACAACCTGAAAGCATTCACCTGCTGCAAAAGTCACCAATAAAAACCACACCCGCTATGTTAAAATTATCAAAATCCCTTGCAATACTACTACTGAGAATATATTACTTTAATAAAAGGTGCCGTTGGTTAACAAAAATTATTTGCTTTTCCAAACAGAAATAATTCATCTTTTACAGGCATGAGCTTGTATATGCTAATTAGGTAGGATATATATGAATTCTTAGAAAAAAATCAATCTTTCACGACAGCTTAAATGACGAATATATTAAAAACAGCACAAATAACTAGATAAGCGATTTGTGAAACATGCTTTCAATAAAATAGGTTATAAGATGATTGTTTAGACCAAAGTTTTGAGCTAAGATACTCCTAATACATATGATTCCTCGCAGAAACTATAGACGTCTGAGTTATCAGAAGGTGAGACGTGGTTTGGTGTGCCGATGCTGAAGCTAAACTTAACATAAAGGCTGCGAAATGTGCAATCACTATCGATCTGTGGGGTACAGAATTCTCGAAACATTCATAAAATTATTTGGTCATTGGTAAGCACAGCGTTATCATGACGTTGGTAGTTACTTGGGAGCAGCTTTGATATTGTCGGCAAACTTGACGGAGGTTATGCAGATCGTCATCAGATGTGATAGCGATATTCTGAATATTTGCAACTTTTAGGTTCTGGTGATTCAATTTGAGTAACAGTAACGTAAGGGATAGCA